TAACTTTTCAATGGGCGTTGTCCATAGCAGCAATCCATAAAATGACACCTTGGGTTTTAAAGGAGTTTCAAACATGGAGTTTTATGCAAATATTGCCCATTCTGCTTGTCGTGTTTTCTTTTATTTTACACATCTTTGTACAGTATTTGTTACAGTGCAATGATAAGAAGTACCCCAGCATGGTGGGAGGAGGAGGAGGAGGGGTGGTCACTAATGATACAAACGTGTATTGCTGTCCAGTCCACCACACCCAAGCCAAACCTTTAAAAGTCCTGTTTTTTTCTTTTCTTTTTTAGGTTGAGGATTCATCCTCGCGTCTGTAGCTCTTCTAAGTGCTTCTTGTTGTAGGCAGAGAGGACCGGCACTCGTCCTTTCATGGCAGGGCTGTAACTGAGACAAGTCCTTTCCAAGATTAGCTGAAGGTTGAGAGGGAATCAAGAGCAGATCCAAACCAAAACCAAGACATTTTTTGCAAGGTTGAGAAAAAAGAAGAAAATAAACAAACTAGTGTTTAGGGCTGGGCGATAGGACAGTGACCGGCTCAGATGATTGGCGGTTGTATTATTGCGGGAGATTTTTGACATTTTAGTTTGCTAATTTTCTGCGTTGCAACCGTAGACAGTATAAAAGATGGACGTGGCTATGGTAACATCACCCATTGGTTTCAGAAGTTCAAACTTCCGATGTTTTTTAACTGCAGTTGACGAGCGACGGACATGGCACACCCGGGATAATCGTTAAACTTCAAAGAATGTACAGAATGGACTTAAATATTTACTGAGTATGACCCAAATTAAGCAAGTGAGCTAATAAACTCATCACAAAAGTGTTTACTTATGTTGTCTCTGGGTTATTTTCCCATAGACTTCTACAGGACAGAAGTCTTTCCCGAACTACAGGTCTGCATTTCCTGGTGGTTATTAAAGAATAATGCAAGTTTAAGGCACTTCTGCGTTGGCTTTATTTCTTTATTTATTTTGTTATACTCGGAAGTACGTCCACCTTTTATAATGTCGCTGTAAATAATTAACTCTAAAGTGCAATAGCTCCTTACTTTCTGGAGGTTTTATAAGCAAGAGTGGAAAGCTGTACACAGATATCAAAGTTTTTCACTGACATGCCAAATGTTCCTGGTTTTTTACCCTGATTGTTTAATAGAGTTGCTGTTATCCCATCTGTGGTTCCCAAAGTTTGGGCGTTTACAATAAATAAATACAAACATTTTAAAATGTCGGCTTTCCAAAACGATGCCACTTCAAATCGATAGTTTTTTAATTAATATATATTTTTAATTTGGGAATGGCTGCTTTAAGATGCTAAGGTGTACCTCAGTTTGCCAAAATAAGTCGTTGTGGAGATGTGGCAGAAAATGTTAATGTATCGCCCAACCCTGTTAGGGGTAATCCCCTAGAAAAACAGATGTAATCTACACAAAAATCCACTCCATAGGTCCACTGTGTCGTTCAACCTCCAGCCAATCAAGGCATGATTTCCAATAAGAAGGACAGAATCTGAAACCCAAAGAAACACTTGAGGAGTCCAAAGATGTAAGAGAAATGTCTTGAAAACTGGACTCCATCTCTACAGCCCTGCTTTTTCAGACTTCGTTGGATCCCTGGCTGGTGCAGGAAGAGAAGCTGTCGTACAGCGAGTCACTAAGGGAGCCCACGGGATCCACCCCGGGCCTGCTCGTGAAACTGGAGGAGGACGAGGCCTCGTCTCCTTTGAAGCAGCTCTCCCCGCTCTTCCCCCCGTCGGCGTGGCAGTCAGCTCTGCGGCCGCCCGAGCCCGTGTCCGGGTACAGGCTGCTGGAGCTGCTCTGATTCAGCTTGTTTAAGGACTCCAAAGAGAAGTCGAGAGAGAGCGGCTGGCTTGCGCTAACGGGCATCTTCTCCATGGGAATCTCCTTCTGCAGAGAGAAAGGAACGTCTGTTAATGAAGAGCAAATACACGCTAGTTTATGTTACGGTAAATGCTGCAGTGTGAACTTTTGGGCTGCCCTGTCTCTACTCTAACAACAGTGAGTATGACAGTGATCTATATTGAGATTTTTGTCACGCTCAACGACCAAATGTACGTCTTGGGTGCTGGCAGGCATTCATCGCAGGGAATTTGGTCCCCTCAGCACTCTTCCTGCTACATTAACTGTGCCATTCAACGTTATTATTTCTTTTGCATTACCTCTGACCATCTGCTTTGTAGGATTACATTAGTAAAAAAGCTGCTGTTTGTTGACACTGCTTCAATTAGCAGGAGTGGTTTCATCTCTTAGCTGATGCCAAAATGTGCCGGACCAAAAAACACACCTTTAGCTAACTCAGCTACAAAAACTGTAAAAGCATGCATTAGCCGTCTGCTTCACTGTCATATGACCCATTGCCACACAATCACAGAGTAAAATAATCCCTTCAGAGGGAAAGCAACACAACACATACACCTACAAATAGTCTGTTCTTATTCATAATGTACCTGCTTCCCAGTATCTTTTTAATGCGTGTCTCAAAAGACACTTTAACAAGCTAGTTACTGTACCCCTCAGCATCAAAACACCTCCTCAGAGGCTGTAAACAACTTTATTTCTGCAACAAATCGAGCCTGGGAGCACAGCAGCTATCTTCATAGGTGCTTTTTGCAGGGGTAAGTACACAGAGGAGTAGCTGCAGGGGCTGGACAACCTCTAGGGACCCTCCAAACCCGGACCGTTTAGCATTTAGCTGCGAGCTGTATCTCCCCTCGGACATAAATCCAGAACTACTTCACACAAGGAGCACAAACACATACACCACTGAACTTTATTAGCACAATTTGGCCCATGCAAACTATTACTGCAAGGGTCACGCACACACAGAGATCTTTAAAAGTTCCCCTTAATATGAAAGTCTCATCTGCCTCTTATCACACTGAAAACGTAATCACATTTGTCTTACTTGGCCATAAATACATGCTTTCACAGCCTTTATTACAAAAGTTCCACCTAAATAAAAAACAAAAGGGTTTGATCGAATAAGTCATAAAGCAAGGAATTTCTCCTTTTTATCAAAGAAGCCACAACGAGAAAAGTTTAATTTGGTTATTTCTGATTTAACAATATGTAAAAGTTGGTGACCTAAGGAGACATTAGCTCACCTTTTTTGTTTACTCTGTAAAAATGTCTATGTTCATAATGCTGCTATATCCCAGCCTAATTAATATACTGTAGGGTGAAAGTTTCACATGAGCCTGTTGCTGTTAGTCTAGTCCACAGGGTTGACATTTCCAGCCACAGAGCAGGAGCAGGCTCATAGCATCAATGTACAAGAAGCTGAAGTCACGTGATTTTGAACTGTAGCAGGAAGCACAGTGTCCCTTTATGTAAGCACAGCTGTTAATTAATTAATTAGTCCTGTTGTCTGTTAAACCACTGATTGAACAGCTAATTTTAATTAATTTTTTTATTATTTATATTTTTAATTCATTCTAAGGTCTGTATGTAATGGAAGTGTGCCCATTTAGGGTTTAGCCTCATCTCTTATCTTATCAAAATATTCCACGTTTGGTGATGTGGTGCTTCTGTAGATGTATGCAGTGACAGCTGTTCGTGCTCGATACAGGGGTGTCACTGCTCTATAGTGAAACATTAGTGAAGTCGTCTCAGTTTGTTCTCTTACTAACAACCTAATTACATTCACGTGCCAACCCAGGTGTAAACTATGTCATGATGAGGAAAGGATTGAGAGGGAAGAGAGGAAATCATTTGCCTCTAAATGCAGCAGGTCTCATAAGAGCATCAAATCCTGGAAGAGTTTTAAACATGCAAATGTAAAAGAAAATGCCTGAAAAGTTAAACAGGAAGGCTAAAAATGAAAGTAATCACCTCATATTGTGACCGATGCAGAATCAACACAAAACCCTAACATCCCATCGAGGCCCATTAATCTGCACGGTGACCTTTGTTGGGAGGCGGAGTCGTCATAAATTTGTAAAGAGGCCGGAATCAAAAGAAATATTAAAGGAAAAATGTGCCCAGAGGTGACGTGTGACTCACATCTGACACACAGGAGGAGCTTTTTTTTTTTTTTTGGCAGGTGCGGAGGTTAACTTCCAAATTAAAAACAGGTGCTGAATGCAGATTAGACCGGACGAGTTTTAATTTGACACCCACGCGTGCTTTTTCATAGCTTTCCTATTTTTGTGTCAGATTTTTGTCAGCTGTACAAAAATGAAAAGAACTGTCGTTAAACTGCCTGGGGGCAAAAAAAAGAGTGCACAACGTGAATCTGTGATTAGTTGTGCGACAGTGAAAAACAGTCTTCAGATGCTGATTCTCTCAGCCAGCCTCCATTCGTCAGAAACAAGAGGAGAGAAAAGAAAGGGGGGTTGGCTGTGCTATCGCTGATTGGGTTTGATTTCGGAGGAACACAATTACCAGCAGATCGAAGCTTCCCGGTGCAGGTCTCTGTACCACCTGCGGGCGCAGCCAAAATGATGGCTCCACACATAACTCAGGCTCCAGGCGGACGTCTCAGTGAGAGCTTCCTTCTTGAAAACACGAGGGCCCGAATCAGCAATTGGTTCTGCATCACATGCCAGTAATAGGATGTCTAAACTCAAATTCAGCAGACCTGCTTGCTACAAAAGCTGAGTGAAATGGTCTTTTATTAAGGCTCAAGCAAGAAACATTTTCTCGTTTTCCCATGCTGTTATGTATTTTTCCCTTTTTACGTTAATATTCTGAGTCGTACAGATGTTACACGTCTATGCTTTAGATTTGTAATCCTTCAGATTTCTCATGAAGTCAAACTAATTGTATGCACACTGCTATACTTAGTAGCTTTTAATGACCAAAATTGTAATAGCCACACTCTGTAAATAAAAGATGGAGCTAGTAACAGTTGCCATCTTGGAGGTCCTGGGGAAAGGGGGGGGGGTCGCCTTTCCTGGAATGAGAACACATCAGCAGCCACAGGTAAGGCAAAACAATGACTTTACCTTCTAAGGAGGCTGATGAGAGCCAAACCGCTCCAACAGCTGCTCATCACCTTCTACACATGCACAACAGAGAGAATTCTCATAGCCTGCATGACAGCCTTGTATGGTAGCTGCACCAAAGGTGACACAAGCATGTTGTGAAAGCAGCACTGTGGTGGGGCGTGGTCTGCGGTGCCGTGCGGACGCACCTGCACGGCATCCGCAATCACGCCCGCCGTGTTAAAACACGGGGACTCAGGGGTTGGTGTAGTGTTTGTGGTGTGGTTCATGTGCGGCTGGCAGTCTGTGAGCTGCAGCCGCAGCAAATAAAGATGGCTCGAAATAACAATTTGTGGTCCCGCCGTGCCTTATTCGCGCCACACTGGTGTCGAAACCCAGGACGTGGCATGGCGGGCCTACAACCAAGCCAGAGGGAGGAACTGGCCCAGAGGGCGGCCGAGATGGAGGCCACCCAGCGGGAGCAGGCGGAGGAGGTGCGCCCCAGCGGGAAGAGCTGCGGGTCCAGACCGAGCGTCACCTGGACAGAATGGCGAACCTGGCGATGCTGCTCCAAGCCTGGTCAGCATCGCCGCCGCCAGTGTATCCTGACGGTGTGGAAGCGGTGGAGGGGCCGCGTGGGGCATCTCGGGAG